CGCACTAATACTTCCTGGAAGGGCAGGATGAGAAAGGAAAGCATTAGAGGTGCCCACAAACAGAGGAGGTAAATCGGAAGGTGAAAGAGCTAACCTCCCAGCAGACCTCAGAAGAAAATTAAGGGCTGGCTGAAAATGTTCTCAAGTTAAGAGGCTGAAGGCAGAATGAAGCAGCGGCTGTGGTGCCTTCTGAAAAGGCACAGCTGCTGTTTCCTTTCCCAATCTCTGCATGTTGCAGGAGGGGGCCTCTGCCTATCCCTGATCCAAGGAGACGACACTGGGGCTGTTCACATGTGGCAGCAACTAACTGTGGGTTAATTAACCCATGTTGCTCTCACATATCCATACAAGAGCATTACAAGTTAATTGTGGTTTCACCGGTCCATAATTAAACTACAGTTAGTATTTAGGTTAACTATTAGGTTAATTAATCCACATTGAGAGCCAGTGTGGTACAGTGGTTAAGAGTGTGGGACTGTGACTTTAGTCCCCGCTCAGCCATGGAGCCAGCTGGTGACTTTGGGCCAGCCCACCTCACAGGGTTGTTGTTGTAGGAATAAAAGTGAATGCTGGAGGAGAATGATGTTATTTTGAGTTTGTTTATAAGGAAAAAGGATATACATCTAATAAATAAATAGGTTAAACCTTGGCCATGCTGGCCGGAGATGATGGGCGTGGTTAAAAGTGTGGGGCTGGGACTCGGGAGATCTGGATTCTAGTCTCTGCTTGGTCATGGAGCCATCTGGCTGACTTTGGGCCAGTCACAAACTCTCAGTCCAACCTACCTCTCAGGATTGTTGTTGTGGGGAGAAAAATGATTGTAAGGAAAAAGTGAGATATAAATCTAATAAATAACTAGCCACTGTTATGTGAATGGGATTAGAGACAGGAAGCTAACACAACTTGAAATCTGAAAGTTTTACACTGTCTCTTTCTCTCTCTCTTTCTCCCCCTTTCCTGGCAGTCCCAGTATCTTGAAGAACTGTATACTGGTTATACATTCCACATGGGAGACAACTTCCTCTCACATTTCATGTCTTTGGAAGAAAAATCTTCACCTGTTGAATTCTTGCTGATCACACTTTTATCCAGATGCTAATTTTCATGTGTGCAGTATCCTGGCACCTTCCAGATATCATGGATTACACTTCCCATAAGCCCCAGCCAGCATGGTCAATGGTAAACTATAATGGGAGTTCTAGTCCAATACCCTGGAGGAGCACCAGGTCTCCTACTCCTGGAGAAGGCCCTTTAACAAGTTGTCTTTGGTTCGGTGGCTTTTTAAAAACCTGTAAATCAGGTTTACTTCGTGCACTCCCAGGCTCAAAGGTCAGCACACTAGTCCTTATTGTTTACTCAGGAGCTGTATATAACCAGTGTAGGAAAACAGGGAGCTGAATTGTATCAAGTCAGACTGCAGGTGTATCCCAGGGCCGCACTTGGTTTCGACACCCTCATGGGTTGAGTATGGCTTGTCTGTGAACTGTGGTTTGCTGTTGAACTCTGGGAAACTGTGTCATCTGAACCCAGCAACTTAGAAGAAACCAACTGAGAAAATTGCCAACATTATGCTCTCCTTGTCCAAAGCCCCGGTATGCCTGCATTGAGAATACTGTGCACCGTTTTGATCATTATTGGCTATTCTAGAGTTAGGAAAAGTACAGAAAAGAACCTCTGAAATGTTCGAGGGACTGGAGCAATGGCCCTACGAGGGACAGCTGCTTCAGCTGGGATCGTTCAGCTGAGAAAAAGGGCGAGCGAGGGGAGACACAGCAGAGGGATTTGAAATAATGCACAGTGTGAAGAAGGAGGAGACATTTTTCTTCCTCTCCCACAATGCTCGGACCCCCTGGGGCCATCCCATGAAGCAGATTTGGTGGGATATTCAGGACAGATCAAAGCAAGCTTCCGGGCCTTCTCTGTGGTGGCACCCCAATGATGGAAATCGTTCCTCAAAGAGATTTGCCTGGCATCGTCACTTTATTCTTTTTGCACCAGGCAAAACCCTTTTTATTTTCCCACTGTTTTAAGATCTGATTGTTTTAATTGGGGTTTTATTGTTATCTGAATGTTTAGGATGCTGTGTTTTATTTTACATTTTTATTGTTAAACCATCCTGAGACGTCAGTAAGGGACGGTCTATAAAACTTTTAAATAGATGAATGAATAACTAAGCTGTTCTTTTCACAGCACAAAGGATGGAATTCACAGCCACAGGAATTAGCGATGGCCACCGGCGGCTGTGCAAAGCTACTAGTCCTCATGGATTTCTGCTACCTCCAGTGTGTGAGAGAGCATCCCCATGCGCAGCAGTTGCTGGGGAACATGAGCAGAGTGCACACACATGCCACTTGTGGGCCATCCCATGACTGGTAGGCCACTGCATGAAAAGAATGCTGAACGAGGTGGACCTTTGCCAGCTTATGTCATTCTGTTCCATAGCTTAATGACCTGCCACACGAAAAGGCTTTTGGTTTACAATTCCCACCATCCTCACCGCTGGTTCTGCTGGCAGATGGGAGCTGCAGGCCCACCCATTTGGAGAGCCCAGACTTAGCCCTCCAGCTTCATTTGCCACGATCCCAGATTCTAGTATTACCCGAGAGGGAGAACAAAGTCCCCCATGCACCGTCTTCGTGCGTGCATAATTTTGCACACATCCACAATGCTCCCCCCTTTAGCTTCTAACTGAACTCTGCTGCTCGTTTCTGTGCACCAGAGAACCTGAAATTAGTCCTCCACCAGGCCTGACTTTCCCTCCTAAGCTGCCCGGCTGAGTGAAGACCATGAGTGCACACAAGGTAAACATATGATTTCAGCCTTCCACTCTAAAAATAGTTCCCGCTACTGCTGCTGGGAGGGTGTTCACAACGGTTAAAGACACACATACAGACTCGTGCGGAAACGGCGACTAACCATTGAGGCAATATTCAAACGAATGCAGCAAAATTCTGCTGGTGCAACAAGAAATGCGAGCACAGCTTCCTCTGCACAGGGCGAGACCCACAAACTCTGTTGCACGGCTGGGGCACTTCTGTGGCAATCACAAAAACACTGGCTTTCTCGCAGGCAGCGCCTCTTGCACGGTGTTGACCCAAGGGCCAAATTCAGCTTCAGAGAAGCTCTTCTCAAGTGGTGAGCCGGGCCCAAGGTAAAAAAGGCAGGGCCAAAATGCCAGAATTCCTAAATATATTAGCTTATTCTAGCTCTGAGCTGTTTATGCTGGTAAGCAAGTCTTAGAAGAGGCAATGCGGGGTTTCTGAATGAGGGTAAAACATGCGAGAACTGGGAACCCACCAAGAGGTCGGCAGTGAGAAGGAAAGGGATGGTCCAGGAGAATGGACGAGGCCCTCTGGGGATCGCGGGGCCCCGGGATCCAGCCTGCGGCTCCCAGATTCAACACCCCTGCTCTAGTCAGCAGAACTTGTGGAGGTGGGACAGCAGTTTTAGTCTAACACTTCTGGAGGACATGAGGTTTGAGAAGGCTGGTGTACTCTGACCTTACATGAATATGTTTTTAACTGTTAGAAGCAACTGTTTGGAATTTTCCCCACACACCCTGCCCCAAGAGCGACAACAAATTTCCCTCTCACACACACGCTTCCTAAACTGCTCTCCTAAACTGCCAGTGACATTTAATGCAATCTGCAGCTTGGACCCCAGAAGAGGCTTTCCCTCTTGCGTGCAAGGAAGGCAGAATGCCTCTTCTTAGTTGTACAGCAAAGGCAGCCTTGTTGGCCATGAGAAAAACTCCACAGTCCATGGTGTAATGCCAATCTCAGGCCAATGCAAAGATCACCAAAGAAATGTGCATGCTTTTGAGAGTCCTGCCAGGTTGGAATCGGTGCAGCGTAGGCCCACAAGGATGGTGGCTGGATTGCAGGGAAAGCCGTACGAGGCGAGACTGAGGGAACTGGGTCTCTTCAGCCTGGAGAAGAGGAGACTCCGAGGGGATCTGTTGGAGACAGACAGGAACTTGAGGGGGTGTCACATGGAGGTGGGTGGAGACCTGTTTTTCCCTGCGGAGGAGGGCAGGATGTGTTCCGGTAAAGCAAAGCTCAGGGAAGCAAGTTTCAATTTGGATGCCAGGAAGTACTTCCTGACAGTTAGGTCCCCTAGAGTATGGAATGGGCTTCCACAAGAGGAGGTTGAGGCCCCATTGGTGAGGGTGTTCAAGGATAGGCTGGACATGCACATGGTAGGCATGTTATGAACGGAGCCAGCTGGAATCGGGGGTCAGACTAGATGGCCCGGGAGACCCCTTCTGACTCGCTCTGTTTCTCTGTTTCTATGTATTGCTCCATCAGGCAAGAGGCTGCAAAGAACAGGTTGGCTGGATTTGTTAAGTTCTTATATAATAAACACTTTGTCATAACCATCTGCTCATGTTTTTAAAAATCTACATAGCAAATCTAAGTCCTTGTGCCATTAATGTGTTTAAAAAACTACAACACCGCATGATTAATCAAAGATACTATTTGAATTGATCCAAAGAGTTTTGAGCAGTGGATCCACCAATGGTGCAATCCCTCTGTGTCTACTTAGCAGTAAGTACTATTGTGCTCCTTGTGGTTTACTCTCAGGTAAGCAGTTTAGGGTTGCAGCATCAATGTGGCAATTGGACAGACAAAGAGAATGTGTGAAGGATTGAGGTGCAATTCATGATTCTTCCTTTGGGGTTTGACCTCCACCCACTGTCTCTGCCACTTGATTAAGAGGAGGCATCTGGACTCCATGCACCAAAAGAATAAAAATAAACTGTGTGCTTTTGGTCTAAAAACCAGGAGAAAGTCCACCCAGAAGTTTAAACTGACAAAGCGATGGAAAATATATGCATGTTGTTTAACCGTTCTGTTCCTGAGTATGAAAAGGGCCGGCAAAATTGCAGGGAACAGCAAAAATTTGGGAAACGGCCATGCTTCCAACACTGAAGTCTTGGTACGTGGAACCGAGGCACGGAGCCAACTGAAGTGCGCTTAAGATGAAGTCAGAAGATCAGATTTGTATGCAATATGGCATGATTTTATTGTATATTCAAATGAGGAACATATGCTGAAAAAAATGCTCAAAAGGTACTGTAAAGACCCAGGGCTGAGGCTTGCAGGGAAAAAGAGAAAAACAGAAGCCTTCCTTATTCACATGCGAACTTGTATTGCTCTGAAGTCTCTCTGTGTGTCTTGAAAAGGGCCTGTCTCCTAAGGATAGCCCTGTGTGGATTATAATGCTAGGGGAAGGTGAAGAAAGAAGGCAGAAAAAGACGGCAATGACCACCTATAAGAGGGATCAATTCCATCAGGCTTGAGTTGACAGGCGCTGAGCAGGGCTGTCCAGGACAAGACCTTATGGAGGGCTTTCCTTCTTAGGGTGGCCATAAGTCATGGGCAGCTTGACTGCACATCACAACAACAGACAGAAATGGGATAGAGGGCATTTAAGATGCAGCAGGGGCAGGGGCTGCAGGAGGGGAAGTCCGGCCGGCTCATCCAATTTTTCGGCAAGTACCCAAGGACAGCAAGGCCGTAGGGCAGAGGCCCGTCCCATAGATCTGGGACACCACATGAAGAAATCCACAATCCAGCCCTGGTAGGTTATTGTGTAACACCTTTGAATGAACACAGAAGCATTTGTCAAAGCCTTTCCTCAAATTACGGGAAAAACTGACATGCAATCTATTTATAAAGAGCCATAAAGAAATTCTTTCCATCAGCATGAGGATACCACCTGCATTTTCTCTGTAAAATACAGTGTGTGTCAGCACGGAGCGAGCATGAAATTTATGCTCAATTAATAATGAGATCCACATTTGATGCACTTTTGTTTGGCTGGGTGTGTTTATTTTTATAAAATTGTAAGAAAAGAAAGAAAAGTTAAGACAAAGGAACAGTAGTCTGCAGCTTGGAAGGAATGCACAGTTCTGTTTTCTTATTTCTGGCCTCTCCCCTTTCCCTGATTATTCTGCTTCCGCAATGAAAATACGAGAAGTTTCACTTTCATCTTCCCATGGCTCGAGGCACTCGCATTGTAACATTTCCGCTAACCGTGATGCCTGGAAATGTCTGTTTAAAGAACTTTTGACAACATGCTCAGAACATGCGTCAGCACTCTGCCCTGTGCCGGTGGCTGCTTGGAGATCTGCGGCGACCGAAAGGTCACCCGGCAGCCGCATCACACGAAGCTTTTGCGTTCTCCAGAGTTCTTCACTGGGCTGGATGGCACCACAGCACAGGGCAGGCAGGGGCGGGGGGCAGAAGGACCAAGAGGCCACCTTTGCCGGTGGAAATCTGGGCTGCGAGGCGGGGGCGATGTCCATGCAAAGCACACGTCTGCACGTGTCTATCAATAGCTGTGAGCTACCATGAGTGCTGGCATGGAACCGGGGCTCACAGGGACGGAGCTCCGGGAGTCTGCAATTGGCAAAGATGCCGATTTCAGGATTCCCTGCTTCGTCTCCGCTCGGCTGCAGTTCTCACAACAGCCGGGGAAAGTGATGTTTGCCAAGAACTGTGAATCGGTCCCTGGTGGGCTGGTCTGGAATGGGCAGTTAAGACCCATTGGCTTTATGAAAGACCCGCTCTCCCCTCCCCAGGCTGACGAAAATGACCAGACCTGACCTACTGCTGCAGAGCACTGTTTTTGGTGTCCCCCTGGGAATATGGCTTCAGGGCTGACGTAATGAGCAACTGCACCTCAACAACGACTGCAACATTACTGGCCCTGATTCTAAATAGAGCCTCCAGCCATAGGCACAGTCTACCTCTGAACAAGCGACCCTGGGGACAAGCTTCCCCAGAGGCACCTGGCTCTCTGGTGTTGGAGGCAGAATGCCAGGCAGCAGGGACCTTTGGTCTGAATGGTCCAGGTATCTCCTCTGCTCTTAACACCATTCTGGGTATTGAAAGACCAATTCCCTTGCAGGCTGCAGTAAACACTGGAGAGCTATGCAAGAAATCTGGCTGACGCGTGCAAATTAAACCTTCCTGTGGGTTTTGCGTTGCCTGTGAACACAGGTCTCCTAGTGGCGGAGTCCTGGAGATTCCCTGCTCATACCAAAGATCACAGGGTTGCCTTCACCCATGACCCGCCACAACGGACAGCGCATTATAACACATGGCACTGAAAACCAATCTATGTTGGAAATGGGATTGGTCCTGCCTGTGTCGTGAACTAACTGTGAATGCGGAAAGTTTTCTTGCAAATGGGCGAAGGCCTTGGCTGCTGGTGGGCTGCTTAATTCTCGGAAGCAAAATGCTCCTTGGCTTAGGGGAGGGACCGCCATAAAGGCCCATCCAAAGTCAGCAGGAGACTTGGTTGCACCCGTGGGAGAATCCCTCCTAAGTTCAGTGCAGGAGTCTGACCCAGACTGAAACTTTGGTTGAAGTCACCAGAACAGATGCTCTAAAAAGTAAGCGCTGGACCCGGTGAAAAGAAGACGCCCTGGTTGTGCATGGCCCACAGCTCTCTCCTCGAACACCTTGGTGCACCTCCCAGCGCTGCTCCCTGAGGCATCTGTTTCATTCCACCTACTGCCAGGGCAGGTCCAGAAGCTGGACTGGCTCAGGGACCGCAAAGACGCCCACAAGCCCTCTTTCACTGTAGGCCCCAGCAACTCCCACAGTGCTCCCATATTGGCTGCCTTCTGATGCATCGGGCTACAACTCCCATAATGCTATGCTGACTGTGGGATTCTGGGAGTTGTAGTCCAACACAGTACCAGGTGAGGGAAGGGTGTACTAGAATTTACTGGCATCCACCGACTGTAAACATGGATGTTATATTGCGCTATAACAGTTGAGTGGGTTCAGCATGGGTTGAGTGTGGGTTGTTGCCGCTGAAATGTCTGGACTCAGGCGTGCTAATAAGCTGTGGCTTGTGAACCACGCAAAATCCATGAAGAGAGTTCATGGTTTGTTGCTTGGTTCTGTTCACCGTGGCTGGTTGTTATCCTGAGCATGGGTTATCCTGTCACTACCTGGATGTGCGAAGCCGTAGCCACTCTCCAAAAACGTTTCTCTCCAAAACAAGTGCCCTTGATTCCCCGCATTGCGTTCACCGCATTGCGTATCAACCAAGCAGAGATGGCTGTTCCAGAGTCGTCTCTCGGGCTGCACTAATAGATTCCAGCTCCTCACTGTTCTCCTGGCTTCTCAGACTCCCCCACGACCCCCAAAATGAGTTTTAAAGCCAACTGCCTGTGCCCTTCCCCTCACCCCAACATAGTTTTAAATCAACACAATATGGGCTCAGGCCACTAAGTGTTTGATTCGGTTCCAACCTCAAGTGTTATTTAAATAGAGGAAGGGAGCGGGGAGAGAGAGACAAAGAGGAGGTGAAAGAAAGGCAAAGGAAAATAACATGGATAGTTTAGGTCAGCCGGCCTGTGCAGAAAGATTTAATGCTGGTGGAACGCTCAGCATTTTCAGAAGCATTTCGATTTGGAAATGGTAGGAGCCGGAGACCCCGTGCTTGTCAAATCCCTGACCATTATTAGAAGCTGGAATAGTCCTCCGGGGCCTTCTCCTTCCTTCCTTCCTTCCTGCTTCCATATGCATCCACCAATATGCTGATAGGAAAACATCATGTCCCTCCGGAGTCTCCCCCAGAGTCCACAGTGAAAGGTTTCCGGTGCTTCCAGAGAGCGGTGCGCTCAGAGCAGCATTTGCCTCTTCTTTGCAGCTTCCTTCTGGGTCCCGCCTTGCTAGAGTTTCCAGAATTTTCCAGAGGGGATAAGCAGGATACCCAGCCGGGCTGGAGCCCCAGATCTTCCACCCCAAATCCCGCATTCCTGCGGGGGCCGCTTACTCTCTGCGCTGCCTCCACGGGCGGGCGCTTGCTGGGACAAAGGTGTGGCGTCCAAGAGCCCTGTCCGCTCTGATCCCGCAGGTGAACTGGCTTTTGTCCCACCTGCACTTCACCTCCTGCTGCCCCCCCCCCCTTGAATCTTGCAGCCTGGGGGATTTCTTGAAAGCAAATGCTCTCTTCTTTCTCAGCCACTAGTCCCTTTTTGCAAATGGGGGTCTCCTTAGGAGGCAGGGGTCAGTTACAGGTGAGCTTTTGAGCTTATGCAAAACAGCTTTTGGGCCGGGCCAGTCTGGTCCCGCAGGCTTGACCCTCGATCTTTTCAGCACCTAGCACTGGCCTTGCACGTAGCACGGACAGCAGAGTCTTGCGGCACCTCGGAAGTAAATGCATTTCTCCTCTTGGTGTCACGAAGGGAAATCTGTTGTATGCGACAGTCCACTTCACCAGATGCCCGGAGCGTGAGCAAACGTTTGAGGTTTATATACAGGACACACGGGACGGAAGGAGTATAAACCATGATATCAGAAAGTCGGATACAGGATCCACCCTCTGGAAGAGGAAGAGTTCAGCCAAGGAAGGCGCTTCCACTCTGTTCTCAGATATCCCCCTTCCTCCGCAGCTCCCCTCAGCCCGTCCCGAAAATCCTGCACATTTTCGGGGGGCTGGAAGGAAAGGGTAGAAAGGGTTAGGGGTGGACCCCAGAAAAAATAGCCACCTGAGTATACACTGAACTGCAATATTATTATTAATAATAATTTACTTCATTTCTATACTGCCCCATTGCTGAAGCTCTGTAGGTGCTTTACAACAGTCCATAAAACAATGCAATATAATACAATACCATAGCATCTTATAAAAGAAGCATTAAAAATCAAAGCAGCTAAAACATGCAGTAAAGAATGGCCCAGTGAAAGAAAACCACTTGGGATGGGTCATCCACTCAAGTCCCCATTAAAAACCAGTTTGGTGGAAGGGGGGAAGTGTCTTCTACCCAACCTCTGCTGGGAACTGCCCTGAAAACATGCCCGTCCTTTAAAAAGGCCTTCCCATTGCTCACTGCCCTCCCATCCCAAAGTTAAACAATAACTCGGATTGATTGGATGGGATTCCTGAGGATGCAAAAATGCATTTAAGGCAGAAGAAGGCTTGAAAACATGCAGGTTTCCATGACTTGAAAACAGCCTGACACAGCAGCATTCAATTTATCCCTTGAATTCCTCCTTGAATTATGCAGCCATAGTTACACTCATATAGTGTCCTGATTCTCATTAATCAATTAATTACTAAAACACCCCATAGCCAAAGCTTTCCAGGCAGTTACAACTATCCATACAAGGTAAACCAAGAGAATGAAATATAATAAGAAGATACCATAAAATCAAAGAAACATTAAAAATTTAAATAGCTAAAACAGAGTGAAGAATGACCGTGTTTAAACACACACACACACACACCCCTCTGGGATGGGTAATCCCCCTCAAGCCACTGGGTAGTCAAGTACCCCTTTAAAAGTCTTGGTATGAAGGGCTGTCTTAACCAGGTGCCAAAAGGATGACAGGGCTGGTGCCTGGCAGGCTGCAGGGGGGAGGTCATTCCCTAGGTGGGGGCCACCACAGAGAAAGCCCTTCTCTTGTTGCCACCTGCTGAGCCTCCTTAGAGGTGGAAGAAGACCCAAGGGTTGAATGCAGTGCCTGAGTAGCATGCGGCCGGGAGGGTGCTGCAACTAGTATTGTGACTCCAAATCGTAACGCTTTATAGGTTAAAAGCAGCACCTTGACCTGGGCCTGGAAGCATCCAGGCAGCCGGTCCACGCAGGCCAGAGCTGGTTCTGTGCGCTGAGACCTACGGGTCCCAGTTATCATTCTGGCTTGCGTAAGATGAGAAGCCTCTCCAGCGTGCTTGACTTTGCAATATTGTTGGCTGTTATGTGGCACCAAGTCATCTCTGATTTATGGTGGCCCCATAAAAGAAAGCCCTCCAAAACGCCTATCCATGACAGCCCCGCTCAGCTCTTCTAAATCCAAGCCTGTGCCTTCCTTTATGTCCACTCATCTCATAGTTGGTTTTCTTTTTCTTCTTCAACTTTCCCTAGCGTGATTAATTTCTCCAGCAACGATGCTCTAATTTCTCTTTTTTCATTCTTTCCTATTGTAAATAATAATAATCTTTTCTCCTCTTGCAAGGAACCCAAGTCCTAAGCCCAACCACTGCAACGCATTGACCCTTTGTGTGAATATCCTGTTACTGTGAGAAAACATTGGTAAACCCATGACTAATACAATTAAGATCCTAAAAGTGTGAGAAGCCCCCAAGGAGCTGAGAAAGTCACAGGCCTGCTCTGTGTGGGTACCAGGGAGGGGAGCTTTGGCAGAACCAGGTGGGTCAGGTCAGGGGCGGGGCTTCGAGGGATATGACTTGCGGGGGCGGAGCCAAGATAGAATCTGTGTGTCAGGCTGGAGCCAAGGCAGAACCAGGTGGGTCAGGGCAGGGCTTGGAGGAATATGGCCAATCAGGGCAGAACTAGGATGGAATCTGCAGTCTTGGCTGTTCAGGTTGCAGTGCCAGTGAATGACTCCACGTTGGCTCACCAGCTGGACCGCGAGTGACTTGCTGGCGGAAGCGCAGCTCACCAAGGGCTGCCCCCAAGACCACCCAGGGGATTCTGTGGGTCGAAGCCAGCAGCTCCCACACCCAGATCCCGGGCATAAGCCAAGGCTACGAGAGGCTGGCAGGCAGCATCCTCGCCACTGTGGCAGGGGAAGAATAATGCTGACAAAGCCCCCGGGGCATCTGCTTTGACACAGGTTAGCCCGCTGTAGTGTAAATATAGGGTTTTGTGTATGAGTTGGCAGCAGTTCAAAGAGCAGATGGTCAAAACACAAAATGCTCGCAAGGAGCTGGCAAGTCAGTACTGTGCACATTCTCTGCAATGGAGCAAAGTTTCTTAGGAGACAGAAGGACTAGGAACTCTGTCTGTCTGTCTGTCTTTTTGAAGTTGAGACTTAACAGAGATCAAGATTTACTGCTCTTCTTCTGCACCCTCATACTTTATAGGGTGGCCAGGTGTTCTCTTTTTCAGATGACAGTCCTCTTTTTAAAGGGCTGACAAAAGTCTGCCCCCATCTACCCTTTCCTGGCAGGGAAGACACCAAATCTGCCCTCTGCTCTAGAGCTAATCTCCAGCTGAAGGGCATTCAAGCCAAGCCCATTTTAAAGAACCACCAGAAGAAAGGGCTACACCTGGAGCTTACCCACCTGCAGCAGCTGCTCTGCAAGCTGAGCTCAGCAGTGTCCCCATCAGCCTCCCACACTATGGGGAGATACACCGTATGCCCAGCCCACCTCACGTATAAGAACCACATCTCGATAATTATTACCAGTGAAACAAAGGCAGTGCAGGAGGGTGGCGAGAGGGTGGGACTGGGGGCCCAGGGGACTGGGGTCTTCGTCCTCACCTGGGGCGTGACGTTCGCTGGGTGGTCTGCGTCTGTCAGGCTACGGAGCACTCCGCAAACCCACTGCGGATCACGGGCGGTCGCTTGCCTTGTGAACTTGGGAAGAGGCGGTGTGTCTCCTCTCTCTGACGGGAAAAGGACACCAATGAATAAACCGGGGAAATGCAGAGCACACGCTGTCTCTGGGATCGCAGTGTCGCCAAGCAGTGTGCCGAGTGCTGAGCCCCCGAGGACCCCCCCCCCGCCCGCCCAGCAGCGGCACAAAGACCGGAGGGCTGCGTGTGTGCCTTCCGAAGCTTTCCAAGAACACTCCGTTCTGGCTCACGCGGCCCTTAGAACATTCCAGATGCCCACTGAAGTCACCAAAGCAGCAGCACCATGGAAGTCACACTCCTTCCTCCGCGCTTTTAACTCTTAGGCTGGCAGGAAGAAATGCAACCTGTGAAGCTTGCCCATAGCTGTGCTGGGAGAGGATGCCCCTGGTGAATTTCTGCCTGCCCGGTGTGCTGGCTGCAACCTGACTGGCATTCCCGTTCTTTGCTGGGAAGAGCAGCACTGCCTGAATGTCTGCCCCTTGTGAACGGCTGCCTGCATTAAAGGCAGCCAGCGAGCTGCATCAGGGCTGGGAGCAGCCATGGCTCTCCCAGACCACATCACGGCCTCCTAGGTGCGGGGACGCCCTCCAACGCTGGTCCAGCTGGAGAAGAGAAACTGGAGCCGAAGTGGGCATTGCGGGTGTCCTGGACTTCAACTTCCAGCAGCTGCAGCTATCATGGCCGATGGCAGGGGATTATGAGAGTGTAGCCGGAAGATCTGGTGGCCAAGCGTTCTCTAACCCTGGACTGCAGCCTGGCCTACCTCTGCTCATAACGTGCTCATCCTGTCCCCGCTGCAGGAGGCCAAGACTGGTGCACGAACCTCTGGTCGCTCCCATGACTTTGCTGGGCAGCCCAGGCCAAGAAATCACAGCCAGCCCAAAGCTGGCCGGTTAGCTTCCTAGCTGGTGTGGACTGGAACGTAGCCAGGTAGCCCAGCCCAGGAGTTAGCAACGCAGTGCCCACCAAGATGCCCGGCTCCTTCCAATTTTTATTCTCAAAGATTTGCCCATTTTAAGGAAATATGTGCAGTCTGCAAATATTGCAAAAAGAGTTGCCATTTTGGCAGCTGGAACTGCTTCGGAGTGAAGTGTGAGTCTCTTGTGCTGTGGTTGCCATTTTAATTTCCCGTGCGTGCCCTTGGCAGGGTAGCCGCGTCCACTGATAACAACTGTTTCTATACTGCCCAAGAGCAGGAGCTCTCCAGGTGGTTTACAAAAGTGACAACCTTAACAACGCATTACAAAACCACACATGCGCCAAGATAGAAACAGTCAACACAGAGAGAGAAGCACATATATCTACAAACCATTTTAAGCCATCAACAATGAGGAACACGCAAGAGTTGATGCCGCCAAATGCCTGAGGGAAGATGAGGGTCTTAGAAAGGTGACGGTGTTGGCACCAGTTGGCCCGCTTGCCAGGATCATTTTGGAATTGAGGGGCCACCACTGAGATGGGCCTCCTGCTTGTTGAGTGATGTGTAATATATGTGCATCTGTTTAATACTGATGCCAACTCTAATCAAAATAATTCAGCTGCAGCCAATCGTTAGACTCAATCTTTGAGCCCCGTGTGTCTTGCTCTCACTAGTTTGGGACTGGATGCTTGAAGGTCAGGGATGAATCAACTTTGGGCCCCTGGAATATACTTTTTCTGTAATTTATTTATTTATTAGATTTATAGCCCACCCTTTCTTTTCTTTTTTTAAAGAACTCAAAGAAGCTTACATCATTCTCCTCCTGCTGCTCTCAATCTTATCCCCACAACAACAGCCCTGTGAGGTTGGTTGGGCTGAATGTCTGTGACTGGCCCAAAGTCAGCCAGTTGGCTGTGTGGCTTAGTGGGGACTCAAACCTAGATTGCCTGAGTCCCAGAACCACACTCTATATACCACACTGGCTCTGTGCTGTCAGAATCCTGAGGACTAGCAGCCTGGTGCAAAAGACACACACTTAAAATGTGAGAATTCTGAACCTGGGAATCTCTTGGGACTACAAGAAGTGAATGGGGCTCATGATTCTTCCACACAATTATCCCCCCCGATTACTCAGAATTTTCTTTATCCACACTGTATAATTCAGAGAAGGGGAGGGGGCATTTTGCTACTACTGGGAAGCAAAAAAAATATACTGATTGACTGCAAATCACTCAGAAATCTAGCAGTAAATCCCAGTCTACTTTCTGCTGGTCCCTGCCGTGGGTTATGTCATTTCTCTGCCCTTGCCTGATGTCCATCTGGTGACTGAACTGCGGCACAGGCAGCAAGTGGGACACGGGAAGCCCTGCTGAAGTGCTCCTTGGCCATGAGGTCCAGAGGGGCTGTGGGGCCAATTTCTGGCCTCACTTCTGCCTCACTTCCTGCCTCGATAGTCACCGTGATGTGAGAACGACAGAGACGGACGTGTGAGGAGCAAGCACCGCACCTCTTTGTGCAGACTTCGAGGTCTGCGTTGGCCACTCGCGGGTCGCCAACCAGTGAGACCGACGTGCCGCCTGCCGAACGAGGGAGGCCTTCACGAACACCTTGTAATTTTTTTTCTTGCACAAAAAAGGGAAAAATCGCAGGCACTCATTCCATTCCTCCGCAAAACGGGGACAGCTTCGAAGGAATGTTGACATCACGCCTGGTGCATTCCGAACATATCGGTGCTGCTGATTCCCGGGAAGAGCCTGGAGAAGTTTGGCATCCCAGACAAAACTTGTTTTCCGAGGAATTCGCATTTGTCCTCGCAACATCCGCTCGGAGGGACGTAACCGCACTTGGCACCGCCGCCGGTGACTCCCTTGTGGAGCCATCGCCTGAGAAAAACCAGATTACTCACGTTAGGGAGAAAGTGGAGGCAAGGAAGGATTCTAGCAGCATGCTTAGAAAGCGCCGCTTGCAGGCCAGGGGTGGCCAGACGAACAAAACTGGAATGTTGCTGTTACCGAAGGGAAGGGATACAAGCCGGCTGCCGCTGAAAGGGGAACAATGGAAGCCCCCAGCGAGCAGATCTGGCATTCTGACTGCTGCTGCTTTCAGACATTCCCGCATCTGGTCTTTATTTGCTCTTTTACAGCACCCCGTACGCCTGTCCGCCGCAGCCGGCGTGGAAGCCGTAGGCTCTACCAGCCATCTCCAGCCCCACACATTCCAGGTACCTTGGACGACTTCTATCCTCCTCAGCCAGAATGGGTGGTGGCCAGCCCAGCTGGGGATAATGGGCACTGCAGCCCAAAGCGTTGCAACAAGTGATGGGGAAGGGAGAGAAAACAAAATAGGTCCTCCTTCCCCTCCAACCAGGCACCTTCCAGGTGTGTTAGATTACAACTCCCATCATCTCCAGCCAGCATGGCCAAGGTTTAGCCTATTTATTTATTAGATTTATATCCTGCTTTTTCCTTATAACAGACTCAGAGTAGCTTACATACTTCTCCTCCGGCTTTCATTCTTATCCCGATAACAACAACCCTGTGAGGTAGGCGGGGCTGAGAGTCTGTGACTGGCCCAAAGCCACCCAGCTGGCTCCATGGCTGAGTGGGGACTCGAACCCAGGTTGCCTGAGTCCCAACCCTGTACTCTTAACCACTACACCACACTGGCCTCTCACATTTCCCGCCTGCTCTCTGCAAACCATGCTCCTGAGGTGGTCCCATATCGCAAAATCTCTCTTCAGCCACAGACTCCCGCAGCATTTGCAGACTCAGACGGGTTGGTACCAGCACTGGCCCTGGAACCGGCGACTGATGCCTGCCCGAGCCCTCTTCGTAACCCCTTTTTCCTGGCCCAGCACTCCACTCTATGTCGGGTCTCGTCCCCCTTTCATTTTCCCACAATAGTCCTGCCTGGGGGCTGCTGTGGGCCCTGTGGGAACTTAAGGAGCGGCCAGAGATGCTCCAACCCCTTTCAGTCCGCCAGCACACTCAGGATGTTGAGAGCATCGTGGGCACTGACACAAAATGGCTGCAATCGGGCATGGCTTGCCTGTTCGTAGCACGGCAGCCACGGTTGGTGTGGCTGGAAATAAAACATCTGTCTCCCCGAGGGCAAACCGGCAAGACTAAAAGAAAGCTAAACTTGTCCAAGAGCTGAAATACACGACAGAGGTGTGGCCTGAGGTCCAAAACACAAAGCCCTCTTTTGAATCTAATATAGCCCTTTGCTCTGCTGTGCCCCACGCTTCCAGGATCTTGCGGAAGTGCAACACACCTTGACCCCATAACAAAAGCCACAGCCTTGAATGAGCAGGCCCTTTATGGATAGGACATTTTGAAGGCTTTCAATGGCACACGACAACAACAACAACGCACATTACATCTTCAGAAGCAAACCAAAAACCAGGAGGGGTCGCAAGGCCGGTGAGTACCAAGGGAAGAGCCCACGGGAAACTGGTCCCCCTGGACACGTCTGCAGCGCAGGCTGCCTTCCTGCTTGTTCCCAGCTGAGCACCAACTTGGATATTACGGGGCTTCCTAACTCCATCCGGGTGACCGGGATGGGCTGCAGCTCTCCAAAGTGGCACCTTGCCAACGAGTCTGGTGTACATGACAGAAACGAGCCGCAAGGCTGACTTGCCTTGCAGCAAGAGCAGAGTTCTGGAGATTCTCCACTGGTAGCGACATGTAGGAGCAGAACGCGAGAATTAATCCCAGGAGCAAAGGGAGTGGCTGGTAGGTGCCAGCAATTGCAAAAATTGTCTGGGTTACCTGAAGACGCCAACGACACGTCTGGCACGGCTTCCCACACTGGATGGAAAGCTTCCAACAAGCACACACTCATTTTCGTAAGACCAGGGATGTCCCTTCTGAGGGGTGAGCCAGACGTGGCAGGGATATGCTTCCTGGTGGATTCTGGGGGAGGAAAGAGGCCCCCGACTCCCAGAAGTTACTCGACCCCCGACCCCCAGCTCCTGGCCCCTGACCCCCCAGTCCCCGACCCCCAGTTCCTCATATGAGTGTTGAACATCATGCTCACAGCCACTGAGGGGACCCAAGATGGACCTTCTCTGGTCTTTTTTGAAGGCTGCTGCTGCCAATTCAGTGCCCTCCAGATGCGTGAGCCTACCACTCCCATAATCCTCAACCACTGCTGGCTGTGGATTATGGCAGGTGTAGTCCAACAACATGA